TAGAGTCGAGATCCTTTCCGGATCTCCAGAAGCTGGTGGAATAAAAAATTTGGACCGTTTAAAGAGGAGAGAAAGAGATTCTAGCTTGTGATTTGTGTGAGGTAGGTTAATAGAATGAACAAATGGGGATGGTAAAACTTTAAATGAATGTTTCAGATGTATGAGTTTGTCGGTTCTCAACACCGTAATTTGGAGAGAATCTCAATTCTTTATTTTAAACACTTGTGAAAGCAAAGCATTGCAATGTAGTGATCAAACGTGTGGGAGGGTGGATCATAATATTGCTTGGATTATTAATCATTATAATCCAAGTTAAAGTAAAAATGCGCAGGCATGTGGGATAATGTGTAGGATAAAATTAAGTTACGTTCAATGTTCGATTCTCTTCACTACAACGAAATTTTTTTGAAAAGAAACCAACATAGAAAGTGATATGACCCATCATTATTTGCTAGTTCCTGGGTTTTACAGTTTTACTCTAATGTTAATTATGACACAGCTTGAATTCCATGGGTTATATGTTAGAGTAAACTTTACAGTAAGGAAGAAGGAGAAGGAAAGCACAAGGCTGAGGTATCCGTGTATGGGGACGAGTATTCTCTCCTCTTTTTTTTTTTTTTTCCTTTTCCCTTCCCTCCTGTTTGAACACAAAATTTCATCTTTGTTGAGAGAGAATAAAAAAGGAGAGAGGGAAACAAGAAAAAAAACTTGTGAGAGGAAGGGAGGGAGGGGAGAGAATCCCCATCCTGCGCGTGGAGGGATTTGATGACTCACAACTTAGGTAGTGTTATTCACCATTTTTTACCTCTGGCACACCCTTGTTAATTTTTTTTTCCATTGATATTCTTCAAATCATTTGATTTGACGGTCGGAAATTAAGAGAGTGTATAGGAAGTAAAAATGGTTGTGTGAATAGCACCACCTTACAACTTAATGTTGTGTCTTCTTTTCTCTTCTGACTTCGGGCATGGCCAGCTCCCATAGTGTGACAAGGCCTGAGAACAAATTAATTGTTGTATGGCTGAACAACGATTACTAGTGATTCTGGCCATTGCAACATGTGTTTTTGCCCAAGGCATAAAGGGGCAAAGGCGCATGATGACTTGACGTCATCCTCATCTTCCCCTCGCTTACCACTGTATTCTATCTAGTAATTTTTGAGAATGCATCGTTCCAAAAGAGTTGAGTCATTAGGTAGTAGGATTGCTTATCTAAAAAACACTTCTGAGTTGCTTATAAGTTATAACTCATAAGTACTTAATTAAAACTTTCATTACAATCTATGTGTTTAGTAGAAAAACACTTGGAAGTACTTTGAAGTTTTCCACTAAACAAAGCATTTTGGCTGTAAAAAGCAATTAGTTTAAGACCAATTAGCTATGTGAACAATGATCCAACTCTCCAAACCTAATTTCAGGACCTATATGTATTAATTGTTATAAAATGGTTTTAATCCCATTTTTTTTTTTCGGTAAGGATATTTTTGTATCTTTGAATTATGTTACCTAAATTTAATTTTAGGGTAATGCTAGGGAGACGAAATTCGTAGATCAAATTTTGTAAACTAACTGATATGGAAGTTGATGATTGGATTATTACTTAAGTGTTAATTAACGTGTTTGGAATCACATCATTTAATGTGCAAATTTAGTCTACATAACATTACTCTTAATTTTACAAATGTTTTAATCTAAAGAAAATTTATACTCCGACAAAATTTCTAAAAACGAACAAATCACGTCAACCAACCAAACTTCAATATACAAACCAACCAACCAAACTTCAATACATACACCAATCAAACTTCAATATACAAACCAACCAACCAAACTTCAATACACACCCCAACCAAACTTCGATATCTACTAGTTAAAACTTCCTAAACAATCACCAAACTAAAGATAAAAAGATGGTTCCATGTGCTCTGTTTCATTATGTGGATTCACTCCAATCCAAGAACACTACCAAAGTGTTTCAAAGAAGGGTTATCTTGACATAGGTCTGCTTTTGCCATAGATCAACTTAAGTTAAATGGAGTTTCTATCACCCTACTTGAATCAGAAATGAAACTTCATACACCTTAAGCTACTTTTGCATTAATTGCTACTTCAGTAATCTTACTGATTAATGTATCTGTTGTTTCATTAATCTTACTGATTAGTGTACCTGTTGTATTTGCTTCTTCTGAGGGTTGGTCTAGTAACAAAAATGTTATATTTTTTCCGGCACATCATTATGGATTGGATTAGTCATTTGGTAGGGATCCTTAATTCTCTCATTTATTGAACCTATTCTTTTTATATCCAAAAATGAAATGACCTCCTCCCAATTTCTTCAAGTTGTGAGTAGGGATGGGCAAATACCTATTGGTTATGGGTAACCGCAGTTACCCACCCATTTAAATTAAACGGTTACGGTTATGGGTAACCATTTAGATAAATAAACGGTTATGGGTATAACCGTTTACCCGCGAAATTTAAATAGGCGGTTATGGATATTAACCACGGTTATAAACGGGTAACCGTTTACCCATTTATTTTATATATGTAAAACTAACACAAACCATGTTCTCGATCCAATAATACTTAGCACCCAATAAATTAGCAAGGAATTCATCGGTCCTTCTCTCAATAACATTACTACAGGAATGATGATTCTCATCATCAAGGAATTGACCAAATTAATTTAAATTCCTTGCGGGTAACCGTGAAATTGACAGAAATGTCTTCTAAACAATTTTTGTAACCCAATAATACTTAGCAAATATTATATTTACTTTCATTGGTAACAATTAAAAATATCGTCCATAAACTATTATTTCAATTATTTGAATGGTATAAGGACTTAAAAAATTAAAATATAGAAATGTATGATGAATGTACCTATAACGGTGTTTAATTGTAAAAAAAAAATTATGACAATTTTTATTTTTATTTTCAAGTTGTTAAAAAACATGTAGACGGGTGAAAAAAGGGTAATGATAAAAAAAGAAAGATAAACGGGTTAAAAAGGATAAATGGGTAAACGAGTATTAAACGGTTACGGTTAAATGAGTATGCGGTTATGGGTATGGTTAACCGTTTATAAATGGTTATGGGTATGGGTATAACCGTTTAGGCAATTACCCAACGGGTAAACGGTTATGCGAGTATGAACATAAACGGTTATGGGTAAATTAACCGCGGTTACCTGCCGCGGTTACCTGCGTGCATAACCATTGCCCATCCCTAGTTGTGAGACACATTAAAAATTCAATATAAGTCCCAATAAATTTTCATTTGAGAAATTGCAACACCAAGCCACACAGAAAGCTTCACATTTTTTTTTCTTCCAATTTGCCGGAAGAAGGACATGAAAATTATATGAGGAAGAAATTTATTTTGTGTAGATGAGTGAACAAATAAATGAATATTTATAGAGTTTGGAATAATTACTAAAGTGGATTAGTTTAGAAAACTTTTTCTTTTTTTAACCGTTTGATTTAAATTTTAGCCGTTGAATTTTTTTTTTTACCATTGGATTTGAAGAGAGTAAATATACACCATGACCAATTTCAAAAGATTGCGCAAAACAAAGAAGTTTCATCTGGACCGTAGATAACCAACGGTCCAGAAATCAAATGGCCCGGATTTAAACCCATGGTTACAGTTGGACAACAACTGGGCTCCCTGCCACGCGTGGCCCAACTGTCAGCCACTAAGTTTTATATTCAGCAACTTAAGAAAAAATAGAACCCACTCAAAATTTGGGTCAGCCAAATCTGAACCCAACTTTAGGTTTTGATTTGTGTCCAAACCAAAATATTTTGGGTTTAGAATCCAAATTTTTTTGGGTTTGGGACTTAGCTTTGGGTCACATGTTTTCCGACTTAAACCCAAATATTTAAGTTTGACTCCAAAGATTGGAGTGGTCGAACTCGTCAAGTTCCAAAAGAAAAACCGAAGGTAGCCCTTAGGGGTGGTTTGGGAGTGAGGTGCTTAAAAAAAAACACCCATGAAAAAAAGCTGTGAGGGTTTTAGGTGTTTGGTAAACTGAAAAAAAAAGGCTTATTTTGGAAGCTGCTGTGAGAATAAGCTGAAATCAAAGGAAAAAGCTGAAGCTGCTATTTGCAGCTTTGGAAAACATGTTTTTTTTTTTCAAAGCACACGGAGCTACCGTACTCCTTTAATGAAAAGACCCACTATCAGACTGTTTTTTTTTTCCAAAAGTACTTTTACAAATAAGTTTACCAAACACTCTGCTGATTTATTTCACTGCCGCTTATTCTCACAGCACAGCCGCTTATTCTCACAGTAGTTTTTTTTCAAAGCACAGCAATACCAAACCAACCCTTAATCTCTCGCCATTTATTGAACATACGAGTCCAAACAATTGATCATATGAGCAAAAGTGCCTTCTACATCAGTCTATCTCACAAAAATGATCAACGCACACACCTTCCAAGTTGTAGCAAGAACTTAGGTCAACCAACGGCACTAAAAATTGAAAATTTGGAAAAAGCAACACTACGTGTGAACATTCTCATCTCACCAAACCAAATTATGAAATTAAATCCCCTACGCATCTCTCTCTGGAGTCTGCAAACCGAGAGATTTGGTCCATTCAAGAGAGAAAATGAGATGTGAGCCATTTAAGTTTTTAGGTTTTTGTAAAATGGGTTACTGAAATATAGGGACTGTAGATTAAAATTGAGTGGTCCAAATCTCCAAATCTATAAACATTGGACACAAAGATCACCAGTGGATCTCAATCCCCAAATTATAGTTGTTGGTTAGTTTCCTTTCCTTTTCTTTTTCGCTACATTTGTGTTCCCAAGCCATGTGAGATTTGGTTAATAGTTAATTTGTATTACTGGTATCACCACATTTTTATTCTACTAAAACTGGAAACAAAAGCAGCCCAAAGAAGGCCGAACTACAACGCTGGTCCTGACGTCTTTTTTGGTGCTCGGGGCAAACACTTAAAATTTGTCTTTTTTACCAACGGATATTAAAAAGAAATATTTAAAGAGGGCTGGAACCCAGTCAAAGTTGGGGGGCTAGGCCCTCACGCCCATATTATATTACTGAGTTAAAAACATACAACGGGAGGATATTAAAAACATACAACGGGGGGATATAGTACCTAAACCCGTCGATCAAAAGCAAAACCATATACAACCACTCTGAGCAGTCAACATGGTCATCACAAATTGAATAAAAAAAGTTGACGTCCCGTTCACCACACATAATGTACGGAAGATAACAAAATTACTACTACTTAAATCTCATAACATTGAGTAAAAAGAATCATCTGAAAAGATGAACAGATGCATCAATTCTATTAGAGAAGCCAATCATGCGGTATACTTTGAAGAAGATAAGGAATACCTGATCAACATATATGTTGACCATTCTAAGTGCAAATTTAGAAGTGATATGCTCCAAGTATGATATTGGACAGAAAAGACCAGGCAGATTCAACCAGTTCTGCTATGTCCGGCTGGGTGAGAGCAGCTAAAGGCATGATTGTTCCCTAATAACATGAATAAATTGAGTAAACACCAAAAGTAGCAGCAAGGGAAGGAGATGTGAAGTAGATGAAGAGGTGCAAAACCTGTGAATGCCCAACAGCAAAGACTTTGGAGCTTGTTGTCGATATATGCAGCGCATCATTTCTGTCTCTTCTGATAAAGATGTGTGTCCATGACTCCTTCGTGTTCCACGCACATTCCCTACGCATGCCTCGAAACCTTCATCTGCAAGGACAAATCTCAGCGATTCTTCTCAAGAATTTAAGAACCATGCATCACCTGGTTAAGATCAAGAAAAGCCAGTAATCAAGTTCAATTGAGTTTGAAGCGCATTAGAGCCTAATTTAAAATGTATCCCATGGATGTTCATCACTTTACCCAATAGTTAGTTTCAAGAAAAGAAATTTCAACAGAACCTGAAAACTTCAGATCAGGGAGCACCATATAGTGAGCTATACATTCAAATTCTGAAATAATCAACTTAGTGGCATGTTGAAAAAAAATCGGAAGGAGCTATAAAAGTAAGGCTTTTCACTAATCAGGCGTTGAGAGATTCAATATTTTACTCACAGATCAGTTATGGGGAAACACTCCCCACCAAAGCAATCTCATTAGTTCTTCACATCTCAAACCAAACAGAAATTGCACTAACAAACACGATTTCTATTAGTCCTTCACATTCCAAACCCAGTAAGTAGCCAACTTTCGTCTGAATCTGGAAAACAAGAAGCAGTGAATTTAATTAATCTTGGTATCTCAAAGTTACTCAGTTTAATCACAAATTTAACAATTAAACATATAAATGGGCAATTTTTATTGAAAAATTAATTAGTATAGTACTCACTGTTTGCTCGAAGCAAGAGTACATTTGATCCACTGCAGATTTTAAGATGTCTTCACATGCTTCCATGCAACACTGAGACATTTGATCCGCTGTTGAAGCTCAACACGAACATTGTGTATAATATACGCGACCATCCAACTACACAGTTCAAAACTCAATTTAGAGCTCTTTCTAGTGAGATATTAATGGAAGAAACAAGGTACAGAACAAGCACACTAAATAACAATGCAAGCAAACCAACAAAGAAAAATATGAAGAAGGACCTTGCATGGGCGGCTACTTCTCATATTGCCAGTTAGTTTTATGGTGGAAACTCAAACCAGTCCATTTATCGCATCTGCAGAAATGAGGCACATGTATAAGCAAAAGCTGTATGGTTATTCGCTTCCTTCATCCCATCTGTTTCTTCTTTGAATCAGCACTACATATCCATGAAAGTAAATTAAGAAGCAAAACCTGAACAGGAAAAGTTTGAAAGCCTTATTATGTAGTTTGGAAATTGCCGAAAACTGACACGGTTGTGCAACATAATAATTGAATTGAAGAAGTCCGTACAAATTGTCATCTGGCCGGTTGCTTGGTAGCTTCAATTCCATCTAAACTCCTAAACCGTCTTTGGTTTCAGTATCTGACAAAGACAAGTAAGGAAATTAAAGAGAAATTAAAAAAAAAATTGAAGTAAACACTGCGGGTGGCTCGGTGGTTGAGGACGAATTCCAAATTCGTATTTTATATGGCACGTCTTTGTTTGATTTCTAGAACCGGTGAATCACACGATGTTGGTTCCATTTTGAAAAAATAAAAATAAATAAATGAAGTTAGTGGGCAAGGAATGCATACCGCTTTGCTGTGGAATCAGTGTTGCTCAATGAGAAAGCAAAAGTGTGGACAAATTTTTTGACCATATAGTATGTCATCTGAAAAGAAAAATAAAATATTGGCGATGAACGAAGAATGAAGAAGAAAATTAAGAAACGAGATTGACATTTGAATATTTCAAAGCTTATACTGAATTTGGCAAGTGCAAATTAAAATAAGTTAGAAAACGCACCTTACTAAATAGAAATGGATGGGATGTGAGCAATCTTAGGCCAGTCCTCCCCTGTTTCCTTCTTGCATCTTTCGCTTAACATGGGGCATTCCCAAATTTTCAATCTATTTAAATTGGGGAGTCGACGAATCCCTTCTGGCAGTGATGCCAAATTAGAGCAATGTAGAATTGCAAGGTGTTGCAGTGACGTGAGATTGCTTATTTCTTCCGGTAGTGATACCAAATTTGGGAAAGATGCGATCGTAAGCGATTGGAGTGATGGGAGGCTGACGACCACTTCTGGCGGTAATGTCAGATCAGAGCATTCTCCAATTGTAAGATTCTGAAGTGATGTAAGATTGGCGATCCCTTCTGACATTGATGTCAAATTGGAGCAATTCATAATTGTAAGCTCCCGTAACGATGCGAGGTTGCCCATCCCATGATATGGTAGTAATGCCAAATCCTCAATATTAATGAGTAACAGACGTGTTAATTTGGAGAGATGAGGGGAAGAAGAAGAGGCAGAGACATCAACGCCAACATCATGTGTAATATCAGATGCTCCTCTAACAAACAAGGAATGAACAACCTTCGAGCTACACCCATTGAGATCTATTCTCTCCACATTTGGATACAGAGGCATGGAAGATAGATTAGGACATTTACTGATAGTCAATTGAGAAAGAGAGGGAAAAGAAGGCAACAACAGATTTTCCGTTGATGAAGAAGAAAAGCATTGTTATGAGTGTGCGCCCTCCACCATCCCTTCAGAACAGGGCAATCAGATATATAGAGCTGCTCCAGGGAGGGAAAGAATGAGATCTTCATCATCTCATCACTCATACTATTACTGCTGCTGGTATTGTCTGATATGTACTCCAACTTCTCAAACCTTTCAAGTTCAAGAAACTTAAGGGATGGGAAATGATCCAAGGGTGGAAGATGTTGGCATCTATGACACCCCCACAATCTGAGATCAACAAGATTTGTGAGAGAAGAAAACCAACTCGCAAACCTCACACCACCATAATTTTCTATGATCAACTTCTTTAGATTTGAATGGGGTTGCAATACTTCCTTTGACATTATAATATCCTTCTCATCAATTGTGCTTACATCTTCTCCACATTTCCACTCTAAAAGCAACGAATGGAGATGCTGTTCTCCTTGAGAGGTGTACCAACATTTGATTCTAACATCACATCTTTCTCGTGCCTCAAGTTTTTAATTACTAACTCTCCCCTTAATTCCTTAAGCCTTCCCAGTTCACCAAGACCCGCAGCACTGTCCCTCAACAAAGAATTGTTTTCGCTCAAAACAAATGTATTCAATGTACGAAGACCATTCAGCTCCCCCAATCCACGTGGCATTCGAGTCAATCCATACCAGCCTTCCAAGATGAGATGCCTTAAGTTGATCATTTTTTTTATGTCTCTAGGCAATTCCACAAGCTCCCGGCAGTAAGAGAGATCAAGTGTTTCCAAATTCAAAAGTCCAACTATCCAATCTGGAAGTTTCTTAATCAGATTATAACTAAGATCAAGATATCTCAAATGTTTCACCTTTTTAAGACAATTAGGTAATTTTGTAATTCCCAAGCTCTTGAGACTCAACATACGCAATGACTTAAAATTTGAAATAATTGTAGCAGAAAATGAATTATATACTAAACAACTTCTATACTCTTGGCAAGGAAGAAGAAGGGTTCGTATCTTTTTTGCATTTAGCAAGGAAGTTGGCACTTCCCATTTCGACGGATAAACATCAAAATTGAAAGATACATGACGAAGCTTTTCATGAAATTTCTTTCGGTTCAGATCAACTACGGCGCTTCCGACCCCCGACACTGAGACTGCAAGTTCATTCATGAGATCGTGCATTTTATAACTTTTTATTACACCAAACTCATCTTTTTCTTCTTCTTGAAAAAACGATCTGCACAACAATTCCATAAAATATTCATACGCAACATCCTCCAGACTCTCGTTTTCACCGGATGACTTGATGAACCCTTGCGCCACCCAAAGTCTAATCAACATCGATACAGAGATCTCATAATCAGGTGGGAACAAGCCACAGTAAGCAAAGCAATGCTTCAAATGTGATGGGAGCACATCATAACTTAGTTTAAGTGTTGGTAAAATTTCATTTTCTTCCTGATTTATTCTTGAAAGTTTATTTTCTTTGAAATTCAACCATTCTGTTTCGTGATATTTGGTGCGCAACATCCCACCTATTGTCCTTATTGCGAGTGGAACTCCTTGACATTTTCTTGCAACCTCCTTCCCAACTGCCTTAATTGTTGAATTCTCTGGTTCTTTTCCATCTTTAAAAGCCATTTCCTTAAATAAAGACCAACTTTCCTCTTGATTCAAACCCCTTAAGGTGTACGGTTTAGCTGTGTCTGATATCGTCGCAACTGTTTCACTACGAGTGGTTATTAGTATTCTACTACCTTTTCCACCCCTCATTAACAAGTACTTCAAGCTAAGCCATTTCTCCCGATTCTCATTCCACACATCATCCAACACAATTAGGTATTTCTTTCCATCTACTTTTCTTCTAAGATCATTTTGCAGCTCATCCATATCAATCTTGTCAACTTTTAGTATTTTCTTAACAAGTATATCCAACTCAAATACATTAGAGATACATGACCATATTTTAAACTCAAAATGATTTTGAATCACCTCATCGTTGAATATGAGTTGGGCAAGAGCAGTTTTCCCTAATCCTCCAAATCCAACTATGGAAATGGTTGACACATTCTCAGTTGAGATGGGATCCAACAAAAGTTGAATAATTGCCTTTCTATCTTCATCTCTCCCTATAATATTTTCCATAGGGACAAATGAGTGAGTGATCCTCTCTCTAATTATAAATCGTGTATCTTCACAATTTACTTCTAAGGGAAAGGCTCTACGAGATGCAATCTCACGAAGCCTCTTGTTAATATCTTTTATCTTATGACTCATCTTTAGCCCAAAAGCAAGTTGATTTGAGCTAGAGAAGAAGAGGCGTACCTTCTTTGACATCTTAGTATTGCCACACATCATTTGTCTCTGCTGAGCTTCAGTATTAAACTCATCCAGCAGGTCATCGGCTTCATAAACTACATCTTCTACGCTTTCGAGCCACAGTCTGACTTCATTGTTGGTTTGCTTTTGCTCAGCGTCAAGAAGAACACCTTGGAATCCGGCAACTATCTCCTGGAGCTTGTGGAGCTCATCTTGGACACCCCAGATCAATCCGATCTCTTGGAAAGCAAGGGAGCCTAGCCTTCCGATGATCCGTGCTGCAACGTTGAAGAGAACTCCTTCCGCCATTTCTTGTATTCAGGAGAAGCAAAAACACAAGTGAAGTGAATTAAGGTAGTGAAAGATGCCTCCCCCTGCTCGTTTTTATACGCCCTTCTCTCATCCAACCACTCACACATCATTCCATGTATAAAATATAAACAAAGACTGGTGAATATATTACTGCCGGCCTTAATAATTGAAAGTTGATTTTTAATGTGGAAAAGGATCCCTCCGGATCCATTGGGGATTATAGGGATTCCCACATCTCTGTTTATTGTATATCGTGTGGTCAGTTTTCATTAGGTATTATTTGTGTTTAATTTTAAATAATAAAAGTTAATTGATTTCTAACGATATACAATAAACGGATGAAATATCAAATCCCTAAAATCTCCACGTCATAGATCCGGAGGAGATTCTTTTCCTTTTAATGCCGGGTCCTTCACGTTGTGTTGTAATTTGCTTGGCATCTTCAGTACTTATTTATTCATCGATCCTCATCCTTGCATAATTAATAATTGTATATTATTATAAAAGTGATGACCCACGTAGAGAAATATGCACAGTACATCATTTCTTATTTGCCTTAACAAAGAAGATATAGTTTCTCTATATAAAGACCTATCACCTCACAAATATGATAGTGAAGAATAGACGGAATGTATTGTTTTCATTATTTTGTAATTTCAATATGATAGATGAGAGAAACTGCTGCTGCTGATCCAAGGATATAGACATACTTGCCGAACCTCATAAATATTACGGCTTATTTATTTTATATTTCACTGAACATATATCCTCAATTTTAGCAATTTTAGCAGTTGAGACAATTAGATCTCTAAATTCCAACGCTTCATTTCACAGCCGTCCAGTTTCGAATTGAGAGTTGACGAAAAAAAAAAAACAAACACTAAACAATGCTACTATTTCGCCACCGACATTTTCGTAACATTTGTTCTACTAGATCGACAAATAGCACCGATTGTTAGACGAACACTAAATAAAATTACAATACTGCAGCTTTATTTGAAATTTCAATACATTTGTAATCACTTGAAAGATATGAAAAGAAGATAGCGGAAATTTCAATACTGCAGCTTTATTTGGAATTTGTATTGGATTGCTGTGCTATCGAATCGACACAAGCATCAACAGTGTGTGTGCCTTTCCTACTACTGTGGGATAAACAGATTTGGTTGATAGACCAAACCATATACCGAAATATGACGCCCTTTGCACAATTGACCCGTTACACATTTACTGTCGACATCTATATAAACAGCGCTGCTGGAGATAATGAACGTGCGGCTTTGGGTATTACTTTCAATCGATCGACGAAACGCGCCACCTGGTCTCGTGCTTCTGCTATTGCTCAAGGGGGATGAAGTCTGACTGGACAGTTGCACATCAGATAGTAAAACATGTTTACTCAACATATAAACATAGTATGGCAGCCTTTTCTTTGCCAACTAATTTGTATTTCATTTGGTTGTACAAAGGAGGTCAACCAGGTATGCCTTTAGATATGATGGTAGCATCCCACAATCCGCTTTTGGAAAAAATTACTGTTTAATCGAGTAAAAGAAAACCAACTCCTGGGTCTACCAAATTGGATAACCAAGTGATGAACTCGATAACTTCTAACAGCGGAATTTAAAATAAAAAAAATTAAAAATTCATCAAAAATAATATAAAACAACTTTGCATACCGGACGGAGTGGGAGACCCATCGGACTAAGGAGACAAGTTATTCTCGGTACAGTTCGATCCCGAGGATGATGATACCTACAAGATGGTCCATATTTACAGTCCCCAGTTTTCAGATAATACTGGCATTCAAGTTCACCAGGCCTCTCTGGGAAAACTTGTTCACTCGGGTTGCTGCTAGAAGGACCAACAGAAGAGGGTATGGAGGTATAAGGGCTTGCAAGTCCGTGTGTTGGAGAAGATAGCTGTGTTACTCCATATAAAGAAGTTGCTCCAACTGTGGGTTGAGCTCCAGGAGATGGTACAGCACTAAGAGGTGCCTGCACCAAGTAATAACATATTACTATTAGTAATGAACTTCAATCATATATCAACCTGAATATGTCTTTATCATACCGAATACGGACTCCAACCCTGAATCGGAACAACTCCAGGAGGAGGAATCAAGACAGGACAGTAAGTCCCTTGCACATATGATCCAGTTAATAGTGGAGGCCTAGCCACCCTCAAACTGGTGGATGCCCCCCCATACTGTTCTGCCAAAGGAACAGGAGACTGCACCAACGGATAAAATTGGGGTACAGAAGCCGGTATTGTTGTTCCAGCAGGCTGTGGATGATGGAATTTACAGGTTATGCCAAATTTGCATTGCCCCGTTTTCAAATAGTAGAAGCATTCATTCTCGCCCTGTTATAAAAAAATTTAAAATTAATTGAAAAAAAAAAAAACAACTGTGAGCCACTTGCTCCACAAATTTCACAAAAGTCTACACACACCCATATGTAGATGAGAGGGTATCCATAAATATTTAGGGGAGCTCGGTTTAAGGATCCAGCTCCATGTTTTGGATGGTGGAATTTGCAGGACGCACCAAATTTACAGGTCCCAGTCTGTAAATATACTGCACATTAGACAAATATATGCCACAATCACATATGAAGTTCAAAGCTCAAACAAATAAATGGACAACATAACAAAGTTGCTGAAAAGTTTCCAGATCTACATTGTCATTATCAGGCAGGAAGTTCACGTTTGACAACAGATCAGAAATCTACTTCATACCTGACATACAGGTTTCCCCACTCTCTCTGGGTAATCCCCTGTAGCTCTTATAGCTGCCACGACCTACGTGCAGCATCAAACCGAAATCATAAACAAAAGGTAACAAAATTCACAAGAAAAGACGATTTCAGTTACCAATAAAATCCAAGCAGTTGTAAAGACGACATTTCCCACTGCACCGAGCCCAAAACACAAATATTAGGCCTAATATTTCATCAAATATAGACTAGTTTAACTATGTCGAATAAATTTCAAAAAAAGTTCCCATTTCTTTTCCCCAGCTTTCTCAGCAAACAAACAATCATCTAGTTTCAGGTAAAGGGACAAAAAACTACCTGCAACAAAACACTCAAACCTACGAAAATTCAAAACAACCTATATATCCTGTTGCAGTCACCTATCACCGAAAGCTTGAGTACTAGTTTACATATCAAAACCCGCAATTAAGCAGTATCGAAAAAGCTCATTAACTGATTGCAATGCAAGTTTACAACGAACAAGGACTTACAGCAGCACGATCACGAGGATGGTTGTACCGGCACCGACCACCGTATCCACAGAACCCGGTTCGCATGTAGTAGACACAGTTGGGCACGCCGGGTCTCTCCGGGTACGATTCGCTGCTCGTCAGCCCCAATGGCCACATTTGATCTACAATTCACCCCCAAACCAGAACAAAACCCCAATCACAACCCCACATTACCAAACCAAACACAAAACCCAAGAAACCCCAGATTACGAAATTAGCCCAAATCGAGCTCAAACGAAGCGAAATTAAAACGCCGAGCAAGTAAAGGAGTACCTTGGAGGCCGGAGATCCGATGATGAGGATGATGGAGCCAGGGTGGCCAGCAGAGACCCAACCGGATATTGAACAACAGGCATATCAACGGGAGATGAAGCTGAGAGGTTGTACCTCATGGTCTGCACTGGATGGTCAAATTTGCATGTAGATCCAAACTTGCACTGACCATTTTGCAGGCCGAATGTACAATGTGGCCGCAAACCAAGAGATTTGGACCATTCAAGAGAGAGTAAGATACTAGTTCAAGTTTTTAGGTTTTTGGGAGGTAATGCACTGAAATGTAAGAATTGTAAATTAAAATTGAATTGTCCGAATCTCTTAATTGACGAACATCGAACACAAAGATAACGAGTGGATCTCAATCCCCAAGTAATTGTAGTTGGTTGGTTCCTTTTCCTTTTCTTTTTCCTTTTCCTTTTCCTTTTTCCCACACGTGGTATTTGGTTACAATACAATTAATTTACATTACTGGTATCACCACATTTTAATTCTACTACAACTAGAAATAAAAGCAACCCAAAGAAGGCCAAACTACAAGGCCAGTCCTGAGTATTTTGGTGCTCGGGACGAACATTCAAAGTGTACTTTTTTTAATACACCAACATATAATAAAAAATATATATTTACAGAGGGTTGGAACCCAGTCAAATTTGGGCGACTAGGCCTTCACGCACATATTATATTACTTGAAGAAAAACATACAACGGGGGGACATGGTACCTAAACCCGTCGATTAAAAGCAAAATCATATACAACCCCTCCCAATTTCTTCAGGTTGTGAGACACATTAAAATTCAATATAAGTCCCAATAAATTTTCATTTGAGAAATTGCAACATGAGAAATTGCAACACCAAGCCACACAGAAAGCTTCACAATTTTTTTTCTTCTAATTTTGGACCTCTTGCATTTTCTCCTGCAGACATCTTCATAAAAAAATTGGGGGTGGGGGGGGGTGTGGATCCGAAAGAAGGACATGAAAATTATACGAGGAAGAAATTTATTTTGTGTAGATGAGTGAACAAATGAATGAATATTTATAGGGTTTGGAATGATTACTAAAGTGGATTAGTTTAGAATTTTTTTTTTTAATCATTTGATTTAAATTTCGGCCGCTAAATTTTTTTTTACCATTGGATTTGACAAGAGTAAATATGCACTATGACCAATTTCAAAAGATTGCGCAAACAAAGGAAATGAGTTTGATCTGGACCTTAGATAACCAACTGTCCAGAAATCAAAAGGTCCGGATTTAAACCCAAGGTTACCGTTAGACAACTAGGTCCCTGCCACGCGTGGTCCAACTGTCAGCCCCTAAGTTTTAAATTCAGCAACTTAATAAAAAATAGAACCCACTCCAAATTTGGGTCAGCCAAATCTGAACCCAAATTTAGGTTTTGATTTGTGTCCAAACCCAAATATTTTGTGTTTGGAATCCAAATTTTTTGGGTTTGGGACTTAGGTTTGGGTCACATGTTTTCCGACTTAAACCCAAATATTTAAGATTGACGCCAAAGGTTGAGTGGTCGAACTCGTCAAGTTCCAAAAGAAAAGCCCAAGGTAGCCCTTAATCTCTTGCCATTTATTGAACATTCGAGTCCAAACAATTGATCATACGAGCAAAAGTGCCTTCTACATCAGTCTCTCTCACAGAAGTGATCAACGCACACACCTTCCAAGTTGGAGTAAGAACTTGGTCAACCAACGGCACTAAAAATTGAAAATTTGGAAAAAGCAACACTACGTGTGAACATTCTCATCTCACCAAACCAAATTATGAAATGACATCCCCTACACATCTCTGTCCGGAGCCCACAAACCGAGAGAGTTGGACCATTTAAGAGAGAGAATGAGATGTGAGCCATTTAAGTTTTTAGGTTTTTGTGAAATGGATTATTAAAATATAGGGACTGTAGATTAAAATTGAGTAGTACAAATCTCCTAATCTATGAACATCAGACACAAAGATCAGGAGTGGATCTCAATCCGTAAATTAAAGTTGTTGGTTAGTTTCCTTTCCTTTTCTTTTTCGCTACTTTTGTGTTCCCAAGCCATGTGGGGTTTGGTTATAGTTAATTTGTATTAATGGTATCACCATAATTTTATTCTACTGAAACTGAAAACAAAAGCAGCCCAAAGAAGGCCAAACCACAACGCTGGTCCTGACGTTTTTTTGGTGCCTGGGGCAAACATTCAAAATTTGTCTTTTTTTACCAACAGATATTTAAAAGAAATATTTAAAGAGGGCTGGAACCCAGTCAAAGCTGGGGGGCTAGACCCTCACGCCCATATTATATTACTTGTAGAAAAACATACAACGGAGGAACATAGTACCTAAACCCGTCGATCAAAAGCAAAAACATATACAACCACTCTGGGCAGTCAACATGGCCATCAGAGATTGAATCCAAAAGTTGAACAGAATCATCTGAAAAGATGAACAGATGCATCAATTCTATTAGAGAAGCCAATCATGCGGTATACTTTGAAGAAGATAAGGAATACCTGATCAACATATATGTTGACCATTCTAAGTGCAAATTTAGAAGTGATATGCTCCAAGTATGATATTGGACAGAAAAGACCAGGCAGATTCAACCAGTTCTGCTATGTCCGGCTGGGTGAGAGCAGCTAAAGGCATGATTGTTCCCTAATAACATGAATAAATTGAGTAAACACCAAAAGTAGCAGCAACGGAAGGAGATGTGAAGTAGATGAAGAGGTGCAAAACCTGTGAATGTCCAACAGCAAAGACTTTGGAGCTTGTTGTCGATATATGCAGCGCATCATTTCTGTCTTTTCTGATAAAGATGTGTGTCCATGACCCCTTCGTGTTCCACGCACATTCCCTACACATGCCTCGAAACCTTCATCTGCAAGGACAAATCCCAGTTATTCTTCTCAAGAATTTAAGAACCATGCATCAAATGGTTAAGATCAGGAAAAGCTGGTAACCAAGTTCAATTGAGTTTGAAGCACATTAGAGCCTAATTTAAAATGTATCCCATGGATGTTCATCACTTTACCCAATAGTTAGTTTCAAGAAAATAAAATTCCACAAAAACTGAAAACTTCAGATCAGGGAGCACCATATAGTGAGCTATATATTCAAATTCTGAAACAATCGACTTAGTGGTATGTTGAAAAAAATCGGAAGGAGCTATAAAAGTAAGGCTTTTCACTAATCAGGCGTCGAGAGATTCAATATTTTACTCACAGATCAGTTATGGGGAAATTAACACTCCACACCAAAGCAATCTCATTAGTCCTTCACATCTCAAACCAAACAGAAATTGCACTAACAAACACGACTTCTATTAGTCCTTCACATTCCAAACCCAGTAAGTAGCCATCTTTCGTCTGAATCTGGAAAACAAGAAGCAGTGAATTTACTTAATCTTGGTATCTCAAAGTTACTCAGTTTAATCACAAATTTAACAATTTAACATATAAATGGGCAATTTTTAGTGAAATATTAATTAGTATAGTACTCACTGTTTGCTCGGAGCAAGAGTAAATTTGATCTGCTGCAGATTTGAAGATGTCCTCTCATGCTTCCATGCAACACTGAGATATTTGATCCGCTGTTGAAGCTCAACACGAACATTGTGTATAAAATACACGACCATCCAACTACACAGTTCAAAACTCAATTTAGAGCTCTTTCTAGTGAGATATTAATGGAAGAAACAAGGTACAGAACAAGCACACTAAATAACAATTCAAGCAAACCAACAAAGAAAAATATGAAGAGGGACCTTGCATGGGCGGCTACTTTCCATATTGTCAGTTAGTTTTATGGTGGAAACTCAAACCAGTCCTCCATTTATCACATCCGCAGAAATGAGGCACATGTATAAGCAAAAGCTGTATGGTTATTCGCTTCCTTCATCCCATGTGTTTCTTCTTTGAGTCAGTACTACATATCCATGAAAGTAAATTAAGAAGCAAAACCTGAACCAGAAAAGTTTGAAAGCCTTATTATGTAGTTTGGAAATTGCCGAAAACTGACACGGTTGTGCAACATAATAATTGAGTTGAAGAAGTCCGTACAAATTGTCATCTGGCCGGTTGCTTGGTAGCTTCAATTCCATCTAAACTCCTAAACCGTCTTTGGATTCAGCACCTGAAAAAGACAAGTAGGGAAATTAAAGAGAAATTAAAAAAAAATTGAGGTAAACACTGCGGGTGGCTCAATGGTTGGGGACAAATTCCAAATTCGCCTTTTACACGGCACATCTTTGTTCGATTTTTGGTGCTAGTGAACCACACGATGGTGGCCGTAGAGAGGCTAAAATGCAACCTCCAAAACAGTAGACTGCCGTGGTAAAGTCACTAGTTGGTTCCATTTTGAAAAAAAATAAATAAATAAATGAAGTTAGTGGGTAAGGAATGCATACCGCTTTGCTGTGGAATCGGTGTTGGTCAACGAGAAAGCAAAAGTGTGAAGAAAATCTTTGACCATATGGTATGTCATCTGAAAAGAAAAATAAAATGCTAGTGATGAATGAAGAATGAAGAATAAAACTAAGACACGATATTGGCATTTGAATATTTCAGAGTTTATACTGAATTTGGCAAGTGCAAATTGAAACAAGTTAGAAAACGCACCTTAACAAATGTTAATGTATGGGATGTGAGCAATCTTAGGCCAGTCCTCACCTATTTCCTCCTCGCATCTTTCTCTTAACATGGGGCAACTCATAATTCTCAATCCATTTAAGTTGGGGAGTCGACGAATCCCTTCTGGCAGTGATGCCAAATTAGGGCAACATATAAGTACAAGGTGCTGCAGTGACGTGAGATTGCTTATTTCTTCCGGTAGTGATACCAAATTTGGGAAAAACATAATCGTAAGTGATTGGAGTGATGGGAGGTTGACGACCACTTCCGGCGGTAATGTCAGATCAGAGCAATTTCCAATTGTAAGCACCTGAAGTGATGTAAGATTGGCGATCCCTTCTGACATTGATGTCAAATTGGAGCAATCTCCAATTCCAAGCTCCCGAAAGGCTGCGAGGTTGCCCATCCCATGATATGGTAGTAATGCCAAATTTGGGCAATCGGCAATGTAAAGCGATTGGAGTGATGGGACGTTGCCCATTCCTTGTGACGTTAGACATTCCAAATCCTCAATTTTAATGAGTGACAGACGTGTTAATTTGGAGAGATGAGGGGAAGAAGAAGAGGCAGAAACATCAACACCAACATCATGTGTAATATCAGATGCTCCTCTAACAAACAAGGAATCAACAACCTTCCAGCTGCTCCTCTCGAGATCTAATCTCTCCACATTTGGATACAGAGGCATGGAAGTTAGATTAGGACACTCATCAATAGTCAATTGAGAAAGACAGGGAAAAGAAGGCAACGACAGATTTTCCGTTGATGAAGAAGAAGAAGCATTGTTATGAGTGTGCGCCCTCCACCATCCCTTCAGAACAGGGCAACCTAATAAGGAGAGCTCCTCCAGGGAGGGAAAGAATGAGATCTTCATCATCTCATCACTCATACTATTACTGCTGGTGGTATTGTCTGATATGTACTCCAACTTCTCAAACCCGTCAAGAGAAAGAGACTTAAGGGATGGGAAACGATCCAAGGGTGGAAGATGTTGGCACCTATGACACCCAGTCAATGTGAGATCAACAAGATTTATGAGAGAAGAAAACCAACTCGCAAACGTCACACCACCATAATGAGACACGGACAACTTCTTTAGATTTGAATGGGGTTGCAACACTTCAATTGACATTATAATATCCTTCTCATCAACTGCGTTTACATCTTCTCCACGTTTCCACTTTAAAGTCAATGAATGGAGATGCTGTTTCTCCTTGAGAGGCGTACCAACATTTGAATCTGACATCACATCTTTCTCCTGCCTCAAAATTATAATTTCTAACTGTCCCCTTAATTCCCTAAGCTTTCCCAGTTCACCAAGACCAGCACTGTCCCTCAACAAAGAATTGTTTTCGCTTAAAACAAATTTATCCAATGTACGAAGACCGGTCAGCTCCCCCAATCCACGTGGCATTCGAGTCAATTTATCACAGCCTTCCAAGATGAGATGCCTTAAGTTTATCATGTTTTTGATGTCTCTAGGCAATTCCACAAGCTCCTGGCAGTAAGAGAGATCAAGTGTTTCCAAATTCGAAAGTCCAACTATCCAATCTGGAAGTCTCTCGATGCGATTACCACTAAGATCAAGATATCTCAAATGTTTGACTTTTTTAAGACAAATAGGTAATTTTGAAATTCCAAAATCTTTGAGACTCAACATACGCAACGACTTAAAATTTGAAATAATTGTAACGCAAAATGAATTACATAATGAACTACTTCTATGCTGTTGGCAAGGAAGAAGAAAAGTTCGTATCTTTTTTGCTTTTAGCAAGGAAGCTGGCACTTCCCATTTCAACGGATCAACCTGAAAACTGAAAGATACATGACGAAGCTTTTCATGAAATTTCTTTTGGTTCAGATCAACAATGGTGCTTCCGACCCCTGACACTAAGATTGCAAGTTCATTCATGAGATCGTGCATTTTACAACTTGTTATTATACCAAACTCATCTTTTTCTTCTTCTTGAAAAAACGATCTGCACAACAATTCCATATAATACTCATACGCAACATCCTCCAAACTCTCGTTTTCACCGGATGACTTAATGAACCCTTGCGCCACCCAAAGTCTAATCAACATCGGTATAGAGATCTCATAATCAGGTGGGAACAAGCTACAGTAAGCAAAACAATGCTTCAAATGTGATGGGAGCACATCATAACTTAGTTTAAGTGTCGGTAAAATTTCATTTTCATCCTGATTTATTCTTGAAAGTTTATTTTCTTTGAAATTCAACCATTCTGTTTCATGATATTTGGTGCGCAACATCCCACCTATTGTCCTTATAGCAAGTGGAACTCCCTGACATTTTCTTGCAACCTCCTTCCCAATTGCCTTAATTGTTGAATTCTCTGGCTCTTTTCCATCTTTAAAAGCCATTTCCTTAAATAAAGACCAACTTTCCTCTTGATTCAAACCCCTTAAGCTGTACGGTTTAGCTGTGTCTGATATCTTCGCAACTGTTTCACTACGAGTGGTTATCAGTATTCTACTACCTTTTCCACCCCCCATTAACAAGTACTTCAAGCTAAGCCATTTCTCCCGATTCTCATTCCACACATCATCCAACACAATTAGGTATTTCTTTCCACCTACTTTTCTTCTAAGATCATTTTGCAGCTCATCCATATCAATCTTGTCAACTTTTAGTATTTTCTTAACGACTATATCCAACTCAAATACATTAGAGATACATGACCATATTTTCAACTCAAAATGATTTTGAATCACCTCATCGTTGAATATGAGTTGGGCAAGAGCAGTTTTCCCCAATCCTCCAAATCCAACTATGGAAATGGTTGACACATTCTCAGTTGAGATGGGATCCAACAAAAGTTGAATAATTGCCTTTTTATCTGCATCTCTCCCTATAACATTTTCCTTAGGGACAAATGAGTGAGTGATCCTCTCTCTAATTATAAATCGTGTATCTTCACGATTTACTTCTAAGGGAAAGGCTCTACGAGATGCAACCTCACGAAGCCTCTTGTTAATATCTTTTATCTTATGACCCATCTTTAGCCGAAAAGCAAGTTGATTTGAGCTAGAGAAGAAGAGGCGTACCTTCCTTGACATCTTAGTATTGCCACACATCATTTGTCTCTGCTGAGCTTCAGTATTAAACTCATCCAGCAGGTCATCGGCTTCATACTGCATCTTCTACGCTTTCGAGCCATAGTTTGACTTCATTGTTGGTTTGCTTTTGCTCAACGTCAAGAAGAACACCTTGGAATCCGGCAACAATCTCCTGGAGCTTGTGGAGCTCATCTTGGACACCCCAAATCAATCCGATCTCTTGGAAAGCAAGGGAGCCTAGCCTTCCGATGATCTGTGCTGCAACGTTGAATAGAACTCCTTCCGCCATTTCTTGTATTCAGGACAAGTAAATATACAAGTGAAGTGAATTAAAGTAGTGAAAGATGCCTCCCCCTGCTCGTCTTTATAAACCCTTCTCTCATCCAACCACTCACACATCATTTCATGTATAAAATATAAACAAAGACTGGTGAATATATTACTGCCGGCCTTAATAATTGAAAGTTGATTTTTAATGCGGAAAGGGATCCCTCCGGATCCATTACGTGGAGATTCTAAATATCCCCACATCTTAGCTGTTTATTATATATCGTGTGGTCAGTTTTTATCAGGTACTATTTGTGTTTAATTTTAAATAATAAAAATCAATTGATTTATAACTGCACGATACACAATAAACAACTGAGATGTGAGGATCCTTAAAATCCCCGCGTAAGAGATCCGGAGGAGATTCTTTTCCTTTTAATGCCGGGTCCTTCACGTTGTGCTGTAATTTGCTTGGCATCTTCAGTACTTATTTATTCATCGATCCTCATCCTTGCGTAATTAATAATTGTACATTATTATAAAAGTGGATGACCCACCTGAAGAAATATGCACAGTACATCATTTCTTGTCAGCCAACAAATGTTAAAGTTTTTATCAGTCAACAAATGTTGAATTATTGTCGACCAACAAATGTTGAAGATGTGCTGCCTACTTTCACATTTCTTGGCCTAGCAAAGAAGATATAGTTTCTCTGTATAAAGGTCTATCAGCTCACAAATATGATAGTGAAGAATAGACACAATGTATTGTTTCCATTACTTTGTAATTTCAGTATGATAAATGAGAGACTGCTGCTGCTGACCAAAGGACAAAACTCAAGCGAAGATACGTATATATCATTGGAAGGGCATACACAGCATAGATTATTTTGTTTCAGGACTGCAGCAAAGGTTTTCCAGTCAAGGAACCTTCTGTCATCTTGCTCCTTTATTCTAAAGGACCTTTTGGATAGATAACCATTTCATAAGGTTTTTCAGCAACCAGAGGCAAATTTGTTTTTCGAGTTACAACTTATAATGTGTTGCCGTGTCATCTGATTCCTATATTGAGCACATTACACATAAACATTATTCCTACATTAACCATACAACTACTGATGTTCATTGACACATGTTCTAAACTCGGGCCCACCGTACAACCCTACAATATTTGGGGGCATGAGACAGTAGCAAATCTGGATAGGTACCTTTGGGTTTCGAACCTGAGACCACACGGCACAATCCCATGTGCCTCAGCCACCCTATTGAGCCCCTGTTGGTTGATGCCCATTAAATATCAAAATGTCTCCTTAAATTACATCAATCACCAATCAGATTTATACAACGCTGAGCACTAACTTCTTCACAACTCAATGCCAAAGATTCTTGCACAAAAAATAACCTTAATAAAAGAAGACTGCTAACGAGACCAAAGTAAACAAACACACCTACCTATACTGCAGAACCATCAAAATGAAAAACATGTTTGCTCAACCCATAAACATAGTATGACAGCCTTTTCTTTGCCACCTAATTAAGGAGGTCAACCAGGTATACCTTTAGATGTGATAGTAGCATACCACAATCCGCTTTTGGAAAAAGATTACTGTTTAATCGAGTAAAAGAAAAACAACTCTTGGGTCTTCCAAATTGGATAACCAAGTGACGAACTAGATAACTTCTAACAGCGGAATTTAAAAAAAAAAAAAATTAAAGATTCATCAAAAGTAATATAAAACAACTTTGCATACCGGACGGAGTGGGAGACCCATCGATCGGACTAAGGAGACAAGTTATTCTCGGTACAGTTCAATCCCGAGGATGATGATACCTACAAGATGATCCATGTTTACAGTCCCCAGTTTTCAGATAATACTGGCATTCAAGTTCGCCAGGCCTCTCTGGGAAAACTTGTCCACTCGGGTTGCTGCTAGAAGGACCAACAGAAGAGGTTATGGAGGTATAAGGGCTTGCAAGTCCGTGTGTTGGAGAAGATAGCTGTGTTATTCCATATAAAGAAGTTGCTCCAACTGTGGGTTGAGCTCCAGGAGATAGTACAGGACTAAGAGGTGCGTGCACCAAGTAATAACATATTACTATTAGTAATGAACTTCAATCATATATCAACCTGAATATGTCTTTATCATACCGAATACGGACTCCAACCCGGAATCGGAACAACTCCAGGAGGAATCAAGACAGGACCGTAAGTCCCTTGCACATATGATCCAGTTAATAGTGGAAGCCTAGCCACCCTCAAACTGGTGGATGCCCCCCCCCCCTACTGTTCTGCCAAAGGAACAGGAGACTGCACCGACGGATAAAATTGGGGTGCAGAAGCCGGTATTGTTGTTCCAGCAGGCTGTGGGTGATGGAATTTACAGGTTATGCCAAATTTGTATTGCCCCGTTTTCAAATAGTAGGAGCATTCATTCTCGCCCTGTTTTAAAAAATAAAAATAAATAAATAAATAAATAACTGTGAGCCACTTGCTGCACAAATTTCTCAAAAGTCTACACACACCCATATGTGGATGAGAGGGAAACAGAGGGGCAGAGTCAGAGTGGAAATCAAACCGGTCGTAATGGGTATCCATGTTTTGGATGGTGGAACTTGCAGGACGCACCAAATTTACAGGTCCCAGTCTTCAAATAATACTGCACATTGGACAAACATATGCCACAATCACATATGAAGTTCAAAGCTCAAACAAATAAATGAACAACATAACAAAGTTGCCGAAAAGTTTCCAGATCTACATTGTCATTATCAGGCCGGAAATTCACATTTTACAACAGATCAGAAAACTACTGCATACCTGACATATAGGTTCCCCCACTCTCTCTGGGTAATCCCCTGTAGCTCTTACAACTGCCACGACCTACGTTCAGCATCAAACCGAAATCATTAACAAAAGATAACAAAATTCACAAGCAAAGACGATTTCAGTTACCAATAAAATCCAAGCAGTTGTAAGTAACTAAGACAACATTTCCCACTGCACGAGCCCAAAACACAAATATTAGGCCTAATATTTTCATCAAATATAGACTAGTTTAACTATGTCGAATAAATTCCAAAAAAAGTTCCCATTTCTTTTCCCCAGCTTTCTCACAAACAAACAATCATCTAGTTTCACGTAAAGGGACAAAAAACTACCTGCAACAAAACACTTAAAAAGGTCGTACCCAGTGCACAAGGCTACCGCTTTACGCAGGGTCTGGGAGAGGTGAATGTCGGCTAGCCTTACCTCCATTTACGCAACAAAACACTCAAACTCACGAAAATTCAATGTCCTGTTGCAGTCACCTATCACTGAAAGCTTGAGTACTAGTTTACAAATCAAAACCCGCAATTAAGCAGTACTAAAAAGCTCAGTAACCGATTGCAATGCAAGTTTACAACGAACAAGGACTTACCGCAGCACGATCACGAGGATGGTTGTACCGGCACCGACCACCGTATCCACAGAACCCGGTTCGCATGTAGTAGACACAGTTGGGCACGCCAGGTCTCTCCGGGTATGACTCGCTGCTCGTCAGCCCCAATTGCCACATTTGCTCTAAAATTCACCCCCAAACCAGAACAAAACCCCAATCACAACCCCACATTACCAAACCAAACACAAAACCCTAGAAACCCAGAATACGAAATTAGCCCAAATCGAGCTCAAACGAAGCGAAATTAAAACGCCGAGCAAGTAAAGGAGTACCTTCAAGGCCGGAGATCCGATGATGAGGATGATGGAGCCAGGGTGGCCAGCAGAGACCCAACCGGATATTGAACAACAGGCATATCAACGAGAGATGAAGCTGAGAGGTTGTACCTCATGGTCTGCACTGGATGGTCAAATTTGCATGTAGATCCAAAGTTGCACTGACCAAATTTGCATGTAGTACACGGTTGCACGCCCTGACAAACAAAAGCACGTTAATTTTCTCCCTAGAATATGACATTGTCAACAAATTAATGAAATATACGCAATTCGCCATATATATGGGGTAATGCTCGTAATAATCGACATAGGGGTTTTGAACAAAAAAAATAAAATCAACATAGGGGCACAAAAAGGCACGACATGTAACATTAAACATCTAAAAAGGTGCTTCACAATAATATATTTGTTACAATGTAGCCGCAAACCGAGAGATTTTGACCATTCAAGTGAGAGTGAGATATGAGACGTTCAAGTTTTTAGATTTTTGTGAGGTGATTCACTGAAATATAAGGATTGTAAATTAAAATTGAATTATCCGAATCTTTTAATTGACGAACATCGAACATAAAGATAACGAGTGAATCTCAATCCCCAAATTATAGTCGTTGGTTGGTTCCTTTTCCTTTTTGCTACTTTTGTGTTCCCATGTGGTATTTGGTTATAGTTAATTTACAATACTGGTATCACCACATTTTAATTCTACTACAACTGGAAACAAAAGGAACCCAAAGAAGGCCAAACTACAAGGCTAGTCCTGAGTATTTTGGTGTCGGAACCAACCCTCAAAATGTGCCTTTTTTAATGAGTGATGATATTCTCACCCGGTGTCTTATTTCCCCACCCACCATTTAATGAAAATGTTAATAACATATTTATCATTTTAAAAGAAGACTTTTAAACCCCTATTTAATTCAGTACTAAAATTTTGAAAAAACGAAAAATAATTTAAAATAATAAATAAATAATGGTGGGTGGGGTGTGATATCTTGGTGGAAAGAGGTTGGGAAAAATTTGGGTTAGAATGGACAGAAAGGTTTAAGGAAGGAATTGTCGTGTGCTAGATGAAAGTGAGAAACTTCAATGAAGAAAAAAGAGAATTAGGTGTGAGATTTACGGTTTTGACAAAAAATGTATGAAGAATGGTGGTTTGGGGATCCGGGGTCTCTGGAGGGCGTCGTTGGGTGTAAAGAAGATGATGAATGTCTAGGTCTTAGGTTTTGCATTTTCTTTCTTTTTTTTTCTATTTTTATTTATTTATTTATAATATTATTTAAACATATATTACTTATTTAAAAAAAATATTATGGTGATTTTGGGAATAATGATTGGTGGGGAAATAACATTTTACTTTTTAAATTTTTTACGGTGGATGGGATTATCATGTAGGTGAGAAAATAACATACTAGGTGGGTCTATTAACACTCTTTTTAATTTTAATACACCAACATATAATATAATGGCTAAAATGCCCCTTGATATCTTCTTTGTTGCCCGTTGTCTTTCCCGTTTGGTACAGCGAGATGGCTTTTACCCATCTTGGCCACGCGTCAGTCGTCGTCCTACCAGCTTGCACCTTCTCGACTTTTCCTTGGTTTCCATTTCTCTCTCTCAAATCTGGGCTTCAGTCTACATTCAACTCGCTCTCCATCTTCATAGAAAACCTGATTCCTCGACGCTTTCTCAAAACGTGCAAGTTTGGTTTCGACCATTCTATCCCAATCTCACAATCTTTGGCACAAAACCTTGAAAATATTGGCCTCTGTTTCCGTCTCCATCCCCTGACTTGGGAACGGTCTCTAAGAGCTTTCTGCGTCCATCCTTCCGAAGGTATGGCCTTCACCAATCCCATGTTTTAGTTTGTTTCTTACTTTTATTTTAGTTTTGGATTTGTAATTTTTTGTTTCGTTTCGTAGCTGAGAATATGTGATCTTAGGTTCGGCTTTCACCGTCTCGCTCCCTCAGCCTCCACACTCTCCGACTCCGGTTCCAGTTAATTCGGTTCCAAAATGCGTATTAAAAGGTGGGTCATCTCTGTTTATGCCAATTTTCATGACCCATAAAGCATTAACCGAATTGGGTTTTGTTTGTTTGGTAACATGGATTGCTCAGGTTAGGTTGGAGAGAATGGAGGTAGAAATACAATTGGGAAAGATAAAGAAATTTTTTATGTTTGAAGGTAGAAAGTTTTTTTATTTTTCGTGGAATTGATGTTCTGTTTTTTAATGAGTTTATTATGGTTTTGCTTGGACAAGTACACGAGTGTTTGGGATTGAAAAGTTGAGAGAGGCCACAGATGGGTTCAGAGAAAATAGCTTGATTGAAGGGTGTGTGTATAAAGGTTTCATTAATGGAGATTTCTTTGCCATCCAGAAGATGAAGTGGACCGCGTGTGAGGAGCTCAAGATCCTACAAAATGT